AACATAAGATACGACTATTAAAATTGTGCGTATGTTCTATTCTAGTAAACTTATCGCTATTTTTGTATACATACATAATATTTTCATAAATACATTGCGAGGGAAAGGTAAGTAAGTATATTAATTTCCTTGAATTAATCTCTCAGAGATTCCCTACATTTTAAATATTAGAAGATGAGTAGCACATATAAACATTATTAATACCCACCACCAAAATGTGTTCAAAGTCCGTATTAAATTGTTTAACTGCACTATTGTTCATTTTCGATTCCTACTTGCGTATTAATTGAACTCAATGAATGTGATGTTAAGTGGCCGGAGACGCCCCCAACCTTTTGATTGCTTCATTTTAGTACGTATACGCATTCTTGTGTAAAAGGGCTTATCAATCGTTCAAGCCTAATAGTTTGGTCACGTTTTTTGTGTTCTGTGACACGATAATTATAAGAGTTATACATATATACCAAGGGTAAAATTTAGAAACGACATTTATAGTCCGCACCACTACTCATTGCCGACAGGAACCCTGGAACTAAATTTGTCGTTACAGTGTGAAATATTATTTAATTCGTTTTAAGGTTAAAAACATTAGAAGCAAATCTTGGAGACTAGTTCGCGAATTTCAAATTAATTTATGTTACGATGGGGTAAATTAGCCTTGCACCTAGCACTAGGAACATATTACTACGCCGCGCTGCTCGCTAGCGCCGCGTCTATCGGCAATCATTGGTGCCGCGGACTCTAGCACTATATCTGACGTACGTCAATAACTGTTTTTACGTATTGGATTTTGAGATTATTCTTCTCTAAATCTCACCTCTATGGTCGTCGTAGTTCTTTTCAGAAACGTTCTCAATGTTTCTGAAATAGAACTATTTTAAAGAATTTAAATAAAACACCTTTTAAACTTGACAGTTGTGGTCAGTGTCAGACTATTTTTTTATATATTTATTATTGCTTAATATGTGTAATATATATATAAACTAAAAGTACAAAAAACACTCAGGGGTTTAACCTTGGTGCCTGAAGGGCTACACAAATTCGTACGAGAATAAGTAAAACGTTTTTATACCGTATACATAATATTATAGTTATCTTAAATTTATACATTTACTTCTATAATATACAATTTGTAGTGGGAGGTCCGGTCCTCATCGGTAAAAAACCCTTTTGATACTATTCGAGTTAATACGCGTTAAACAAACAAATCGGCCACAAACATTAGTTTAATAAATTAATTAAATAATTAAATGCGTTTTAATTTTTTAAAAGTTGTGATTTACCGCTATATGATATATCTGGAACTAATTTCAGCTTTAAAAAGTTTTTGATCTTTGATTTACACGCCAAGACCGAATTCTGAAAAAAATCGACTCGAATACAACATTTCATATTTTTGTTGTGCCATCCTTGAAATGAAAAGAATTATCAAAATCGGTTTATAAACAACAAAGTTATCAGCGAACAACCGAGAATATCCGAGAAACCTCCTTTTTTGAAGTCGGTGAAACATTATTTATGGTTTTATTTGACATATTGATTCCACATTATATTCTGGTGATGAACTAATCGGCTATGTTTATTACTCATAAATCATATTTTAAGCAGTAATTTCAGATTTTCCTTATTAAAGTCACATTGTACATTACAGTTCAATGTGTAGTTTGATAATGTTCAGTTATAAATTAATTATTGAGTTCCTAAAGAAACATTTTAAAAAAGTTTGTTTTATACTTGGTTTTATTGAGTGGATATTTATTTGTAAGTACACTTTTCTTGTCAATATTGCTAGTCGTGCCTGACTGCCCTAACCGATACATCAACTTGCTGCTGGGCCGGATTTAGGGCCTCCACAAAAGAGAATTCGGAAACACTTGTAAACAACTTTTCTTTTGATATATTTTTATACGTTTGTTAGATACTAAATACTTGGTTCCACAATAAATTATTGATGGAAAAACTAGACTAAAAAAAATAATTTTGTTTGAAAAATAATTTGGGGCCAGGGGGCCTCCACTCCTTTGTTGCCCGAGGCCTCTAAATCCGGCCCTGACTGTTGCTGCCTCCACACTACTCTAATCTCCTTTTGTCTCAGGGCATTGGGACCCATAATTTTCTTAATTTGTTAAGAACCACGGGTAGACCACGACCGCGATTTGCCATCACTACTCTGGTACTGGTTCTCTCCTGGCAATATGGCCAAAGTAGCTTAGCATCTTTTTGTAAATGATAGTTGATAGTCTTATGGTGATCTTAAGTTACCTGAGAATGGATTGTTAGTATTGTAATAATTAAATGAATTGTGTTCGTTTGAGGGCCAGTCAGTTCAATTTTCGTTCCCAGAGTTAGCACAAAAGTTATCGTTATAATAGGACTAGTAAAAATTCCCACTTGTATGAATTTTATGGGATTCATGAAAGCAATTAAAACACTAGAAAATAATAAAATTCTTGTCTCTTTTTATGTGTGTGTGCATGTTTGTGAGAGTGAGGTTATGTGTGACTCTTAATATATCATTTTTGTAGAAGGCCTTTGTTTTATTAAATAAAATTAACAAATTGAGAAAATAAATCAGTATACTGGGAACAAATTCTATTTATGTGGGCGTTACGAAAAAAGTTATTCTTATTTGTATTAACCGAAAAAAGAGAAGTCTTGTTCTCCGTCTAAGTACAGAAAATTTTACTTGAAGTACGAGAACTGAGCAGTCAAGGCGTCCACGAAGGAGTTCGTGTAGTAAGCATTTGTCCAAAAGAGTGCGTCTATCCTGTAAGAGAGTTAATATTTTTTACCCATCTCCTGATAACCACTTGACCTATCCGGTTTAGCATTATATTGGCGTTGTATAACGATTATAAGTAGGAATAATTTACTCAACTGTGTGCCAAAACGTTGTAATTGGAAGACATTATTGAATGAAACATTCTTAACGATTCGCCACTGAAGCGATATCTATGAGTCGGTTGTTTTAATTAGTTACACATGTGCAGTGTATAGTTTATTATTCAATTCTATCTAATACAGGCGCGTCTATTCATAATTTACAGCAGTGTTGGCTTAGTGGCTTCAGCGTGTGTTCACTGAGGTCGTAGGCTCGATCCCTGGCTGCACCAATAGCCGCGTCCACACCGCACGATCCAAAATGGATCGGCGATACTAGTGCTGATACTGTTTTACAAATATACGATATTCATAGAAAAAATATAGTCAAAAGATTTGTACATTTCGGATTAGTCAAAGTATTTATAACTCGCATTAACATGATTTTCGAATTCATGTCGTATGTAGTGAACAAAACTGTATTTTTATAAAATAGTAGATGATCCGCTGTACTTCATACATTATTTGTTTTAAAACTTTTTAAGAAATTTTTAAAACAGACCAAATATCTCAAACTACAGCTATGACACACAAATTTTTGAAGGAATAATTTCATATTAATTTTAATTTCATAATAATAATTTCATAAAATTAATCTATAAATAAATGACAACCATTTGAATTTTTTTTATTTCTAAAACGACAAAAGAATATTTTCCAGCTAAAAACAATTTTTATTGGGAAATTAAATTGTCGTTTTTAGTATTTTTGTTTACTTATTATTATTCATGTTTCCCATTTCAACCTGTAATTACAACCTTCCCTGAACATCCACAAACAAATCAAGCTCATAATAAGCCAATCGGTCCAGTCATTCTCGAGAGCGAGAAATACGAACAGAGATTCATTTTTTATATATTATGCAGGACATCTCCAGAATGAAGCCATGGTTCTATTGCATATGAAAATCCTATGAGGGATTATTCGATATGAAAAAGCGTTAAAATTAAAACGCTTTCTAAAAACTAAAACATTTTCCGTAAATCATTCCGTCTACATTGGCTATACAAATGTTACGCTGATTGTTTTGTTTTGTCATAATATGAAATAGTTGGCATTGCTAAGCATTGATTATATGTGATTTTATTATTTGTTAAAAAAGTATTAATTTTTATATGTAAATATTATTTATTTCGTTGTTATAATTCCGTAATTTGATTTGTATAAACTCTGCCACTGTATAATGTAATTGTTCCTTTTACAAAAAACTAATCACGCTGCTAACTGGAAACATTGACCTCATTCAGGTTGTACCACAATGCCTTCGCCTATACTAGAGGTGCTTTAAGTGTTCATCAAAAGTAATTTTCTTAACTTTAAACAGTATTTTCAATAGCATATGTGAATCACATATATCAAAGACTATTTGCTTGAATTAAATATACAATTGAAGAACTCAGTATGTTGCTTCTATATATAAAATAATTAGATCTAATTACCTAGAAATATTGACATATCGTAATCAGATTTGTCCATTACATTATCTCTAACCGAGGGCGTCGAATTGGTCTATCATTTAGTTACAGCTGAAAAGAGAAAGAAAAAACCTTTTTGTTATAATTGATTTTTCTAAACCTATTTTTATTATACTATATCTTATTAGTTACTATATCAACATGTTTATGTTGTACAGTCAATAACATAATGAAGTTTTTACTAGCTTTATACAATTCATACTTTTCCCATTATCTGTACCTCTGGCCTCTACCCTCACCATGACTTCAGAGACGCCTTGAAGTGAAATCAGCTACAATTTAACGACGCATTTAATAGTGGACCGTGAAGTGTTTTGGCTCTAATTTGATTGATAGTGAACATAAAATCTTTACTAAATGATTTAAGTAGTCTAAACTCAGTGTTATGCTGAAAAAGCTTAAATATACGGAATTGTCTTCAAAGGAGGCACATCGACTAGATAAAGTGACAGTATGTTTACATGTTGCGCTATAAATATTTTTTTTTATGTATCAGATCGGCTAAACACATCAAGCTCTGTCTGATACATTAATAAAATCTATGTTTTATTGTACTACTGATATGGATTAATATATTTAATTGTTATAAAACTTAAGATAATGCGATAAACAAGCGTTTAGGGCAATAAAGCTGGCCCTGGTAGAATGCGGCGCGACCCCGCAGCTGACACAGCCTTGTGGGAACTACCCGAGGTGATTTTAGTTGTTACTACCCACCCCATACTCTAACTAGCAGAGATTTTGGTGTCGTGCGAGTCCCAACCCACCTTTGCGGCTTTCGGAGGCATCTTCATGAGAAAATGTAATTATTAATAATAATAATAATAAAAACTTTATTTATGACAAAAGGGTTATGACAGAATTCATATATGGCTAGTACCCTCACTAGGGAGGCCCTATGTTGTGGGTAACTAGAAAACAATTATTCCGTGGTACATTGTACATGTTTAATACAGTTTAAAATAAAATAAAAAATGAAGTGTTACAAATTAAGAATGAACGAATGAGTGAGTGTGTGAATGGGTGTGTATGAGCATGTATTTGAGAGTGTAGCTGAAAGTTGTTATCGATCACGATACAACTCTTTTTTGAAGTTATACTTCTTTAGGCGCGTTATGAAAAATTTATGAGAGTGAAATTTTACGATGCGCGCGCACCGTGACACAAAATTATCAGTATGGGCGCCGAGCGAGCGCGAGCGAGATGGGAATAAGACAATTTACAAGTAAAAAGAAATAGAATATGCGTGACGTTAGCAGCTATGCCAAGAATTTTGAATGACCATAATGACATTTGTAGTACCTTTTAAACAAATTAATGAGTTTTAATTATTTTCTCAAAGAAATTTAGCAATGATTTTCCACAAAGACCTATTGTTACTTAGTTAAAAGGTTATGAAACATACCTAGTCATTAAATTGAATTAATAATATAATAAAATAATAAATAATAATTATTATTAATATTAATTAATAATTGAATAATATACGAAATATTAAATATTGTTAAATTATTAACGCTAAATATTTATTATTAATTATTTAATATTTAAAAAACATAAAGAAAGCCAAAGAAGTATAACTTCTTACGCGCGTACATAAGTACACGCACCATTTTTTTTTTTTAAGAACGGCTATTGTCCGCGATATGTTTGACTTTTATTTTTGTAACCTCTATTTTAAAGTATGAAAAAATTAAACAGGCTAATAAGAACATAATACAGTTAAATGTATTGTTGAACGATAACACTTATCAGTCAGCTGGTTTGTATATTTATTACTAAACATGGCTCCCGTATCATTGTGATAAGCTTACATTGGCTCAAATAAGTACAAATGTTAATTAAACAAAAAAATAATAATGTTTACTAGGCCCTTAGGGATAATGTACCAAATAATCATTTCCTACAAACTGAACGATAATGTTAGTAAATATAAGTTATAAATAATTATTGTATAAACCAAAAATAATTTTAGAGTTAAAATACAAAGGTAAGTAATCAAAGGATCTAAAATGTATTGGATTTGTCCTACGGGAGTCAGTCAACCCCAGAGGCAAGTTTAATAGCAAATAAATTTGTTTTGAAGTCTCACCTTCCCATTAGCGGCCGCTTTCACACTCGATCTATAATCTAAAATTATTTCCAATCCAGATTATCACAAATTTAAATTGTTAAATCTCAAAATTCGAAAAGGATCCATCGATCGCTTATTGAAAAGTATTTTAGGAGATATCGATTGAAATGTCAATCTCTAGTAGTAAAAATTGGATTGGGATTGAGTATAGAACGCGGCCGTAAGTCAGGTGACATTGCCTCTATTCCATCATGTTTAATATAATCTTCTCATGTGACTACCAGCCCAAAATATTAGTTTTTTATTTCGATTTTTATAACGCGGGTAGGCCGCGGTAAACCTGTCTTTATGTTAAACTGAAGGAGTGGAGATAGTTGTAAGTTTAAGTTAATTAAATTTGCTTCTATATTTAAAAATAACTGTAGCCTAGTTATCAATATATGGTAATACATAATTTCGTAATAGAAATAAAATACTTAAAGATAGCTCACGTCTCGTTACACACGCGAATAATTCCGTTAACAGAGCAATGACTTAGGTCATTAGTCTATTTTATTACCGTTATTTTCGGCAATAAAATGAACTAAATAGGTACTGAGTATAAATTTTGTGTATTTGATAAGGTTAATTTAATTGATTTGTACTTTTTATTTGATGACAATTTTTAAAGGAAAGGCATAGAAATATGTTTCACGTTTTAGTCATTATTTTCTTAAAGAATAGAATCTTTGAAAGAATTGAATATATCAGATGGTTGACTTAATTGTTGCATTATTGTGTTAAATATATACTTTTCTTTTAATAATATTTTTTTTAATATGGTGTAGGTACAATATGATGGTACAATCTGAGTTTTTTCGCATATTCTGCTACACACAATGCAAATATCTCACATAATTTGGTCGAATTTTGAATTTTGTATGTATACATATTATTATTTTTATTCCAATGTTTCATTCAAAAAAGCATTTCTAAGCAATCTTAATAACAATCTAAGCACATATTAAATATATAAACTAAACGTTTAATAAAGATTACATATTAAAGCATCAGAACAGGCATAAATTAATTTCCACCTCAATAAGATCGGTTTTATGGATACTTATGAACCTACTAATTTAATAATAATAATATAGCTCCAAAGGAAGTGAAAAAAAAAAAGATATTTTGGTAATGTTAGACAAGTTTTACGTAAATAATATTTATAGGAATACGTCTTAATTCCAGTAGTGGCATGCAACAACGAGCCGTCATGTCTCCAGGACCATGCCGGATTAGAGGCGATCACGCAGCTCCATCGGCAGCTGGATGATGACGCCAACGGCAATGTTGATCTGAGTGAGAGTGATGATGTAAGTATACAAATAAGTTAGTCCTTCCAAATGCGTGGAATAAAGTCCCCAATGTGAACAATCAATCTATATATATTGTCAAGTATTAAAAAAAAAGATTTTAGAGGTAGTAAGTACATGTTTATATAAATTGTTAATGCTATGTATGTATAGCTTATAGTTTATTGAAAAAGTTAATTTTTTTGATCTTTAATATAGTGGTATATTATAATTATTATCTTAGGTTGAGAGCGTACCAATCCTTAAAAGCCCGTCAACGCGAGCCTTATGACAGTATGAATGGCCAAAGGCGGCCATATTATCATTTAACATCGTGAGCCTAACACCCGTCTGCCCCTCGTTTATAAGAAATATACCTATTACTTATAAAACGCTAATTAACGCAGCTCCTTTTAATGACCACGTCTTTAATCATACTTTGTATGTAAACGACTAAGTAAAAACATTAAATAACACCCGTTGCCTGCTTACAAAAAATGTTAAAACACGCTTGGAGGTTGTTCAAAGACCAACGATTTATTTTCTTAATAGACAAACAACAGACTAATATTAGTAAGAGATACAAACAGTTGCCAACAGATGGCGCCATTAGCATATTAAAGAATATTATATTGATAATAATTTTTACAAAAAATGCTAGTTTAGAAATGTTAAGAAAACTTGTTGCTGCAGCATCGTGTATGTCCAAATGATACGACAAACATTATTGAAAATATTTTTTCTCCGTAAATGCCCATTATGCTTGTGAGATTTCTGCCATAGACATATTACATTGTTGTTAAGAACTATCTCAATTAACCACTCTTACAAAAAAACGTATCAAAATCGGTCGAATTTAGGGGCTTTATAGAACAGGGGACAAACGCCCTGGAGGCTTATTTGATATTAAGTGTCCGCCCATGGATACTCAATGCCAGAGAGCTCGCGATGCCGGCTTTTTAAGAATGGAGATTCATGTATTTCAGAAGATTAAAAAAAGCTTTCTAAATATGTATTGACACGCGAACATTTGTGTACATTAAGTCTTTGATAATTACGTACATAAACGAAAGAAACAATAATGGTTCCTCGAATCGTAAAACTAATAATAATTCCAGGGAATTTGAATTAAAGAAACTAGTGGGTTTGTTTTATAAAACCGACGCTTTCTTGAAATCGTGCCATTTTGTTAATAATGATTTATTCCGACTAGTGTTTTATTACCACCTCAATGTTACCGACTACCTACATTAGTGGAACAAAAAAACGGAAGCGGTTGAGAACAATAATATCTATTTAAGATTTATGTTGTTATCAAAGTATGTGAGTAATCATGAAAGATTGGTGAAAAAGAAAAGGTAATTTCATATTAATCTAGTAGTATATTATAATTATTATACTACAAGTTAGAACATAGAACAAAGACCGGCAAATTGCCTTCTGGCAATGTGTGTGTCCATGGGCGGCTTCCACTTAACATCACGTGAGCCTTCTGCCCGTTCGCCTGTTATATAAAAATAGTAACAGTGAAAAACGAAAGGTATTCATTTTCATATTCCATACACAGCCTTTATATCATATGTTATTTCAGTTTCTACGTGAAGAGCTGCAGTACGACAGCGGGTATGAGAAGCGACAACGGGCGTTTCATCACAACGATGATATGCACATATCTGTCAAGGAGCTTTGGGAGGCCTGGCTACGATCTGAGGTAACTGTAATTTTTGAAGTTATATTTCTTTTGGCGCGTTAGGGAAAAATGATTAGAGTAAATTTTTACGATCCGCGCGCACACAGTCACAGAAAGCCGACACCCTGAATATCTGGTCAAACGACGGTAAAACAGTCTGGGCCGCTAGTTGGCGCATGCTCTGTTTTATCGACAAGTTGCATTGTCTGTCATGGCGTAGTGTTTTTCAGAGTCGTGTTTATTTAAACCAAAATAATGATTTCTATACGAAAAAACCCGTTTCAATGTGATAAAAAACATAGTGTTTATTGTAAAATATCATGGGAAACGTCCCTCTAAAGTGCTCGAAGAAAATTTTTACGCCAAAGCAGTATAACTTCTAACGCGTGTACATAAGTACACACACGTTTTTTTGTTAGCCCCGACTCCCTACAGACCGCATCAGACTAGCTCAGTACCAGAATACATGGATCACATGGATGTTCCAAATGTTCGATGAGTTATGAATGGCGTGGCGGTTATGTTAATATAATTCTTGTTTGCTCCACGCCTTTTCATTTGTTTACAAAACATATAAACAAATGAAAGACGTGTATATTAACTTTTATATTAAGTATCAAGATTACTGTCGAACAACTAAAGTAATTTAGCTGAGAAACTTGCGATTATCCGCATAGCCATTATTCGCTTAACCTTGAAATGACTGAACAGATCTTCATAAATTTTATCTAAGCATCTCGGCCGTGTCAGCTTTCAAACAAAATCCGCAACATAATCGGCCCATTCGTCTAGGCAATGACACACCGTCACGTCAAACTCATAACCCCTATTTGTTACGCTCCCAAAGCGAATTTACAGCACTGTGTAAACAGAGTACAGTTGAAGAGTTCAATTAGATTTAGTATCTTCTAATACAGGGCGTCCCAAGAATATGGGACATCAAGGAAAAGTACCTTTAATATCGTAGATAGGATATTTTGCTGAAAGAAGACTTTATTTTATTTAGAAAAGTAAGTAAGTATTATTGAATTCAACGATTTCTTAAAAAATACTTGTCTTGTCATAAATCAAAATACTTAATTGACTTGGAAGTTTTATGTATGTTTTTAATTTAATAAAAATGATTAATTTCACGTTGTTCCTATCTTTGAAAATACTTTGTTACTTAAGAAGAATTATTATAATATTGATTTAAAAAATTAAATAAATTATATATAATATTACTTTTTGTCCATTCTCTTGATTGACATCAAAATGTAACTTTTGATTTTGTTAACATGTGTTTTTTTACATTTAAATCGGTTCGATTCCCAGACGAGACAATTTAGAAAATCATTTAATGCAGTAATATGTACTTTCATTTCAAAATAAAACAAATTCTTCTTTCAGCAAAATGGTACTGGACTATGGGACGCCCTGTATATATAAATAGGAATAAAGATTTCTAATTAAATGTACCCTAAAAGTCACTCAAGTCTTAATTATACTACTGATTTTATAGGTTAGGAATTGGACAGTGGAACAAACGGTAGAGTGGCTCTCCGAGTCTGTTGATTTGCCTCAGTACAAGTCACTGTTCCTGCAACATCGCGTTGTTGGTGCTACATTGCCGAGGTAAATGAGTTTGAGTTTTTGATTCAGCGCAATGCATACTCCTGTATGGGAGCGTTCAAGTATTACGTAACGCATTTTTTGGAGATTATTGAACCCCCCCATGTAACTCGCCGTAACGTTTTTCAGTACCCAAGTAGTACAGTACTGTACCCAAGTATAGTAAAACGTTTCGTGACCACCTAGTGACTCTTTAGTTACTATTATGTGGTGTATCGTGTAAGTCGAAAAAAAATTAACAATAACGCGTAATTTAATCCCCGCCCCGCATCGTAACGTTTTACAAAAGGACCCCCCGCCCCCCCAAAATACGTTACGTAATACTTGAACGCTCTCTATGTTAGTCAGTGCTGTTTTTAAATATTCGGCTTTGAGGCGAACTAGCTAGTATAATATGAAAATTATACTATGAGGCCCCTCAAATTAAAAGCATGCCTTTTAATATTTTTTATCCAGTATCAAGATTTTTTTTTCTGCGGGTATTTGCAATCAGCTCTAAGGCTATGAGCGAATATGTTCTGTGGTGCTGTCATGTGGAGTGACTTCCCATTAGAAGCATCTACTCATCTTCTGTCTAGACTCTAGAGCTACTGCCGGTCTTCTAGCTCTAGAAATTAAGTATCAAGATAACTGTCAAGCTATAATGACGAATAACAGTGTCAACATATCAAAGGTTATTTGCGACGATCTTAAATACCACGGTTATTTTTCCGCACAGACTAGCACAGGCAAGTTTATTATTTGTATTCTATAGTTTATATTCTATAGTAGAATCTGTGATACCTTTATTTACCAGACTGGCTGTGAACAACATGCAATATCTAAGCAACGTATTGGGCATCAAGGACCCGATTCACAAGCAAAAGCTGGCTCTAAAGGCGATGGATGTTGTTCTCTTTGGACCACCTAAAGGTAAGCACATTTCAATAACGATTCGTTATTATTAACTAGTAATACAATCTGTCACACACTTGTGTATGTCGGTATTGGTTCTTTGATTTTGTTATTTGGTGATTACGTCAACACATTGTCTATGCTTGAAAACGAAATGCATTTGCACGAGAATTCCTACAAAAAAATTAATACGTTTATATACTATTATTTTTGAGAGCTTTGATTACATTTCCTGACAAGAGGGGGGAGGGGATAAATTGCTGTCAATCTGCTCACGTAATATTTGAACGACCTCCCCCCCCTACTTGTTACCTCTTCTCATTCGGATGAATGTTCTGGTGGTTCAAATTCAAAATCTATTCATTCTATTTATTCATTTAGGTAACACAATGTACACTTATTAACGTAAATAAAGAAATATATATTAAATGCTTCTAATTTTACATTTATTGCCCGTTCGCAAATCAAAACCGTACAACGGACGAAAAGAACTGCCAATAAACTCTTCGCCACTCTTTTTAATCGCCAAGTTTTTTGTTTTACAAAATGTTTGTAAGTAGCTGCAACTATTACACCATGTTCCACATGACATCTTCAAGTAATTAATAGTTAATTAATAATAATAAAAAAACAAAGATTTGTTCTCTATCAGCAGTAGGAATGGTGAAACAGGAGCACGCACTTACATTCTCGTGGGAACAACACACAAATACATAGTCGAAATAACTAACATCACAGCATACACGAATTCAAGTCCGACCAGTCACCACAAGTTGCACCCAACCACCAAACCATTCCCTATTGTATCCTTGTCTTTTAACCCACACTGCTCATTGTCAGATTGTGTCAGTTATTATTGTATTTATTATTAATATAGTAATGAAAATAATTATGTATTGTATGTACAATGTGGTTTTATGTTGGAATATTCCTACACAAGTAATAAGCAGCCGATTCTATATATTAACTTTAGATTTTTGATAGTGTTTAAAAAGACCTCGCTTCACTGTCGCAACAATGTTCGGTTGTCTTAAGTAATTGTTTTTTAAAATGGTTTTTTAGAGAAAGTAAATCATAAAATTACTTTATAAATAAATATGTTATCAGAATTGAAAAAGCAATTGTGAAGTTAGTTCGAAAGAAGAAGTTAGTTAGAAGAAAGTTGATATTCGCGAACAAATTGCACTCTTTTATCTGTCTTAGGTCTCTTTTTGTCAAATTGTGTTTACGCTGTGATGAAAAGGGACAGATGAGTACTTTAGACTCAGTGAATAAGTTGCCTCAAGTCAAATGCTGCGATGTGTCGATCCGCAACGAAACAAATATACACGTTTGGTAGTTGAATCACATACTTGACGAAAAGTTCAGATCAGAAACGATTAGTAGCCCGCACTGCAACAAAACACAATACGTTTTTGATGTACGTCACACTTAGCGCTTAATCACATTTAGTTTCAGCCTGAATCTTATTCACACACACACACTCCCCTCAAAGCGGCTCAGAACACACACACAGATTGACTGCCCCTGTATTGCTATAGCTAAGTGCTAGGAAATCCCTAAAAATATGCGCACTTTTTGTATAGTATGATTAATTTGTATATAATAACAAAAAATTATAGAATCGTTTATATGACTCATTTTTACTATGAGGTAATATTTATTTTGATTTAATTTACATAGTGTTGGCGTGGAGTTTTTAAAATTATAAGTTGTCGTTGCACAAACAATGCCGTCTCACCACCTATTACCACCAAGCACTTAGTTAAGAATTATATCATACCGAATAGGTTCACCAACATATGTGAGCTTGTAGGATATTTGATAAAAAGCATAAAACTTCATATATTTTCATCTAGCAGATCCGTTTTAGCGAGCAATTGTATAAAATTTACTTACAGAAGCAAGAAGTTGCTAATATACATATTTAAATTGTCTTGTCAATGTCATTTCAGCTATATGTTGTCATTCTCGTCATTATTAACAAAAAAAAAACAGTTATAAATTTTACTCGCTACAAAAGTAATAATTCCATGTCCAATCAAAGACTAAACAGCTCAGTATTTAATTTGGTTTTCGTTTAATGAAAAACTTTACTATCTTACTTATGGCCCCCAAAACATAAAATAAGTGAAGCACAGTTTTCCGACTACTTTGTAAGCTTGGGATACAGATTTATTGCTGGGGGTGACTGGAATGCGAAGCATTCGCACTGGGGCTCTAGATTAATAACTACACGTGGAAGGGAGCTGAAGAAAAGTGTAGATAAACAGTTCTTGACTACTGTCTCAACTCCGGAACCAACACACTGGCCCACAGACCCGAACAGACTGCCAGACGTTCTAGACTTCTTCATCACAACAGGGCTGTCTCGACTTTTCTTCAATGTTGAGTCATGCCTCGATAGCTCATCTAACCATGTTCCTGTAGTATTGACAGTAAGCACCACTATCCTTAAGGAAGAAGCTCGGCAAACATTGTACAACAAATACACAGACTGGGATAGCTTCCGGGAAATAGTTGACACAGAGCTAAGCCTAAAAATAGCACTTAAAACAGAAGAGGATATCGAAGAAGCTACAAACAGCATTTCACCACAACAGTTCAAGCTGCCTGCTGGAAAACCTCTCCAGAGCGCTTGAATCACAGGCCACGGCAAAATAAGATATCGTTTGAAATAAAAGAATTGATTCTGAACAAAAGAAGACTGCGAAGAGTATGGCACACTAGCAGGCTTTCAGTAGATAAAAGAGCTCTTAACAAAGCAGTCAAGGATCTTAAACTTGCCATAAAAAATGCAAGGGACAAAACTATGGAATGTTATCTAGATTCCTTAACTGCAACAAATGCTACAAACTACTCTCTATGGCGAGCTTGTAAGAACTATAATAGACCGATAGATCCCAAACCACCGTTACGCTTACAGAATAACACTTGGGCAAGGACAAAACAAGAAAAAGCTGACGCCTTCGCTGTTCACTTAGCAAAAGTATTCACGCCTAATGAAGCTGACCCAGACACTGATGATTCCTTCATAGATTCGGTCCTAAGTCAAGACTTCCAGCTCGATTTGCCGATTAGACCTACAACGCCGAAAGAAGTCGTGGCAACAATCTCAAAATTGGAGGACAAAAAGGCTCCCGGGTTTGATTTAATAGACAAAAAAGTCTTGAAGGAACTTCCCAAAAAAGCCATAGTTTTTTTAACCATCTTATTTAATGGCGTAATAAGAACTGGACACTTTCCATCGCTGTGGAGAGTCTCACAAGTAATTATGATACCTAAAGTAGGGAAGCCAGTGAACGAACTTAGCTCATACAGGCCGATTAGTTTGCTAACCGTAACGTCAAAACTTTTTGAGTCAGTCCTAAAGCACAGATTATTGGAGGAGATTCATCAAAGAGCCATAATCCCGGACCACCAGTTTGGTTTTCGCCAGCAGCATGGCACAGTGGAACAAGTCCATAGAATCTGCTCTGTAATAAGGAAGGCACTAGAGAGAAAGGAGTACTGCTCCTCTGTCTTCCTAGACGTGCAGCAGGCGTTTGATAGAGTATGGCACAAAGGTCTCTTGTATAAAGTAAAAACTCTTTTACCCTGTACATTCTTCCCCATCTGAAAATCTTATCTAACAGAAAGAATATTTCAAGTAAGAGAAGAAGATTGTACATCGCCATTTCACTCAATCAAAGCTGGTGTACCGCAGGGGTCTGTCCTGGGCCCAGTCTTATATACCATTTACACATGTGATTTACCACAAAGCGAACACGTCACATTAGCCACATTCGCAGACGATACTGCTGTACTGGCATGTAGTAATAGCCCAATAGAAGCTTCAGACTTCCTACAGACTGGATTGCAAGAAATTGAAACCTGGCTTTCGAAGTGGAGGATAAAAAGTAGTGTGACAAAATCTGTTCACGTAACCTTCACTCTCCGTAGAGGAGACTGTCCCCCAGTAACTCTGTGCAATCAACAACTTCCGCAAGAAAACTGTGTAAAATACTTGGGAATACACCTTGATAGGAGACTCGTATGGAAACAACACATACAGAAGAAGAGAGAAGAAATCAACCTGAAATATAGAGGACTCTACTGGCTACTTGGCAGAAATTCCAAACTGTCAGTAGATAATAAGCTACTCATCTACGAAATGCTCTTGAAACCAATTTGGACATACGGGATTCAACTATGGAGTTCGGCGTGTGACTCTAATATAAGTATCATACAAAGGGTTCAAAATAACATCTTGAAACAAATATCCAATATAGTCTGTCTCACTCTAACGCGTACCGGCAGCACCGGCCGCGCTCACGCTACGTCACCGATCTCGTCAGAGAGATGGCTGCGCAGTATCCGTTCTGTCCCACTCTAACGCGTATTTGCTGCACCTATATTACGTCATCGTGTGTAAGGTTTTTTTCGTTACGGAATTTCTTGACTCGGTCGCCGCGTTTAAAGCCCGCGATAAAATCTATGCAATAGCTTAATAAAGTCGACTCGAGTGCTTTACAGCAGTAAACGATAGACCTGTTACTACATTAAAATACAGAAACAATAGTCACCCTACAGTTATATAACACCAAATTATTAACTCCATTCATTCGCGCCATACCGTGCTGTGATGGCCTATTCAGTGCGGTTTCTTTTGACCTTGTGTCGTGTTAATACGTGAATGTTAAATGTTTGGTACCAATTGGAGATCATATCTCGCGGAGGTTTTTTTTGTGTTTCATATAGAAGGTATCATATGTTTTTCACCTTTAAACATTCATTCATGTCTCTATAAAATTTGCATTTTGCGAGCGTCTACAATACTGTGCACACGGTTTGAATTCACTAGAATCGCCATTATTCATAATTTGTTATAAAAATGGTTAGATTTTTTTTTTGTTTTGTTTATATGCGATATTGTTCTTAATTGTCTCATTTCATACTACATATACTGCTCAAAACAATTAGCGGAACAAGATTTTTCTCCTTTCTATTGCTTAAACTAAAATTAGATTTAAATTAAC